CAGCCCGCTTTGATCAAATTCAGGTCTGCTTCGGGCCAATTCAGCCATAGCTTCGGCCTCTTCTGCTTAAGCAAATAAATATCTATATAAAGTATTTTTTTGCTTTTTTATTTTTTATTTTTTATTTTTTTTCATTTTTCATTTTTTCATTATATGTATATTTTTTTATAATTTATTTATATTAAAATTTTAATTAAAAAAAATTTTGGAATCTTCCCCCGAATCGGCCGAAGCACTGAATTACGTCATTTTTATCACCAAAAGAAAGAAGACTCCGAAGCAAATCTGATAAACATTGGGCAACACAAGAAGACAGTAACTGAAAGGTGATTTCACCTGGGGAACACATCCTTTCCTTCAAGAGAGGGGCTAATTCTCCTCCTAAACTCAACGCTTCAGCTTAAGTAGAGAAAGTATAATGGCCTGCTTTGGTTTACAATCACAAGTAATTTGGGCTTGACAGGGTTCCATAAAGTTTCCTCTCAAAGAAAAGAACGACAATTGCCCCTCATTCCGGGGGGGGGAGAGAAAGAGAGGAGGATTTCTAAACGGGTTTGATACAATGCTAGCATTGTGGTCTGAGGCTGATAGAACTCCTCAAACCTCTAGATGTCCAAAGATGGATTGCTAACATTGGCCACTTGAGGGGAGTTGATTTCGAGCAATCTGTCAGCAACTCCTCCCAAAACTCAAATGGACTTCAAACTATGGGTGTCAATTGGATCTGGTCGACCTGACTACCTAGTGAGTTCCAGTTCTGGATCCGCAAAGTGGTTCAGGTCCAGGTCCAGGTCAAGCAAATCTAGAACCGTATAGAATTAAGTTGCTCTTGACCCGAACCCAACTCATTGATAACCGAGTTGAACCCAACTCATTGATATCCTAGTTTATGTAGAGAAACGGTCCTCCTCACGTCTATTATTGACATTGCACTGTGGACATCAGATGATTGAGGAGTTGACATTATACTGTCTGGAACACAATTTCTAGCACAATAGCATATTCCTGTCTAAATTTCAAATCAACACAGACAACACAATAGTGCTACATTGCCGTGTCAGTATAAAAGTCTAAATCAAAATTACCTATGAAAAGTTTAAAAAAATCAACATTTTGGTACATATGGTTTTTGGCAGTTTGTCAACCGATCTATTTTTGTATTCTGTCAACAATGGTTACTTGGGTAATTCTCAAACCACTCTATTTATTAATTTTCCAACTAGCAGCCGTGAGGATCTACAAACTGGTAATAAAATCACCCCCCACTGAGACATTTCCCAAGGCATTGAGCAGGAAATACCACTAACCTTATCCGAGTAGCTGTATAGCTCTAGAAAGCAAGTCATTCGTTATTCTAGGGAGTACCCATTCAACCATGTCACATGGAACCCTAATGATTGTTGGCTTTGCAATTGTCTGGACTAGGTGAACGCCAACATTAGGTTGAAATTCTAGTTCTAGTTGAAGAACAAAGTGGTTCAGGAATGTCAGTAGTAATCTTACAGGACAAGCCTAAATAAACCTATTTGAATGTAAGGGCATTTAGAATAGTCCCAATCAGGCTGATGATTATAGAGGAACTCTCGACTGTATTTAGGGACTGCTGAGGTTATTGATAAACATAATTTGAGGCAGACAAGAAAAGCAGTAAAATATAGGATCTACGATTGCTTTTTTCAAGTTAGATGCTTGACATAGGGTTTGAGGGAACCATTTCATGGTGTGATTTTACATTGTTGAGGCAGGAGATGCTGATTTGCTAGTTATTTCCTTTCTCTTAAATGGAACCTTCAATATGATTGATGTGTAGTCTTTGTACCCCAACCACCAAGCCAAGAAGTTGGATGTTTTGTTAGCTGGTTTTGGGGGAAGATGTAAAATTTTCATGTGTGGACTTCATTTCCCTTCAAGGATGTATTCCCACCATTACTCTAATTCCAAGTATTTAGTTGAGAAAAATCCTGATTTTGCTGCTTGCTGGACTCATGTAAATGGATGAATTTATAAGTCTCAGCAAATATTTAGCAGTTGGGCAAAAAGAACATAGCAAATAGTGCATTCTGAAAATTATGAATTATTTTCCAGGAGAGGCATATATTATCCATACTCCATAAACCTTTCAATTTCCAAACTACCTTGATATATTTCTTTTTTCTTGTTTTTTTTTGGGGGAGGGGATAAGGTCTGTGATATATTTCTATGATGAAATGCCATATGTATTATGCAGTCCATAAAAACTTATTTCTGAGATAGAAAATATTCCCGAGTTAACACAAATCATCCAGTGGGTGACTTTTATATATTGAAAATTCAGAATGTGCCTGAGATTTTTAATATACATAATTTTACGAATTAATATAACATATAAATGGAATATCTGATGCGGTTCGAATGACGTACAATCAATGATGAGCTCCCTGTCTGAACCCCAGCAGACACTTTTCTTTTCACTCGACTCACAGAATTTTGAAAAGAAACTCACCAGAGTTTTTCCAAGATGAGTGTTTAATTTGATGAGCAACTTGGTTTTGGGAGCAACAAAGTCAGCCGCCGAGTTCAAGTTCTTGAATATTAAGTATCTTAGTTCATAAGAAGTACATTACCTATCTCAGTATATTTTGTCATCTACTAGTCTCATTTCCTTTGCAATAAACATCATGATATACAATAGTAGTTATTCAACATTTGGGAGCAACCAAGTCAGCTGCCGAGTTCAAGTTCTTGAATATTAAGTATCTTAGTTCATAAGAAGTACATTACCTATCTCAGTATATTTTGTCATATACAAAAGTCTCATTTCCTTTGTAATAAATTATTACTCCACATCATGATATACAATAGTAGTTATTCAACATTGCAAAGTCTATTAAAATACTCCACAATGTGCAATTAGAAGATATGATTCACTTAAACATCACATTTATGGTCTGTATACTTTAACACCATGTACACATAGCAATAAATAGGGCCATTCCCTATCCTCGATGGTTATGCCCAATATCTGCACTGGCATACTATATCGATGCATATGGAATAGTTCTTCTGTTAGTTTCTATAATGTGGAATAAGTTTGGAGTAATGTAATATTGAATATTGTAATGTAGAACATTGTATAGTATAGTAAAAGATGCACACACACACACACATATGACTTCTAAAAATGAGAAATACATATGCAGATATATTTATGTATGGAAACATATTAGGTCGACCCATGGGTCCAAATTGTTCAATCAGGCCTGCAGGTCGAACACATAGTTTAGACTTTAGAGGATATGAAAGAACCCAAAACTCAAATGATAATCTCACTCGTTTCAATTAAGAAAAATGGGAAATTTGTCGCATCACACGATTCATACCTAAAAGTTGAACTATCTAACATTTCATCATAGGTGTGATTTGACAAATATAAAAAACCATAATGGTGTGTTGTTTGATTGGCTATTTGAAATTTGATTAAATAGATGAGCTATTTGAAATTAAATCAAAAGACATTGCTGAGATATTAAATATTCAACTCGGGGTTCTGGATTGGTAAATTTGCCCGAAAAGAATTATCCAAGGGTCAAAAGTTCCTCAAAAAACAATCCACTCCAAGACAGAATCGGAACTGTCCATTTCGATGGATGTCATATTAGACACTTTTTACATCAAATTCCCTTTTTCACAGAAATTGATCATAGAATGCATCAAAGTTGATTTCATGTCACATAAATCCTCCTAACAGGTGTTTCAACTGCCGGCTATGCATTTGTGTATAAATTAAACAAAGGCAAGATAGTGTAGCCCCCACAAAACTTGGTGCTCCACTACCTCAAAAATTACTTTTGAGATGCAGAGGCAAAAAAGGGAAAAAGGAAATTTATCAAATTACATTGAAGAGTTGAATAATTTAATATCTCACCATATGTTTATTTTGAATTGTCCATTTTTTTTTTTTTGAGAGAAATGGTTAACTTGTATATGTATTAAAATTGTATGGAATTACAAGTACACAGTTCCGTAGTCACCCACAGGCGGGGACTCGGGAAAAAAACGTGAGGTCAGGTTTATTCAAAGATATAACAACGATACACGGTTGCTTAGTTTAGCAGTGAATTCAAATTAAACCAAAAAGAAGGGCTTATAGGAATTATGAGTTTGAAATTTATCAAATCAATTTGAAATGCTAAATGGCTCAACTTTTAAGTGTGATTTGATAAATTCCATCTCCCTTCCCCCCCCCCACCTACACTACACTACCTACACTACATACAACTACTACACTACTAACTACTACACACTAC